ATAGTGATATCTGGAGAAGACAGTAAGAGATCAAGAAATTGATTAAAGAAATAATAACCAAAAACTTTCCTAACCTGGTGATGGAAAAAGACACACAAGTCCAGGAGGCACAGAGAGTCCCATACAAGATGAACCCAAAGAGGCTCAAACCAAGACACATCATAATATGCCAAAGGTTAAAGACAAAGAGAGATTCTTAAAAGCAGCAAGAGAAAACAGTTAGTTACCTACATGGGAACTCCCATAACACTGTCAGCTGAAATCTCAACAGAAACTTTGCAGGCAGAAGGGATTGGCATAAAATATTCAAAGTGATGAAAAGCAAGGACCTACAACCAAGACTACTTTACCCACCATGGCAATCATTTAATATTGAAGGAGAAATAAAAAGCTTCCCATGCTCTGGCCAGTGTGCTCAGTGGATAGAGTGTCAGCCCCATGCACCAAAGGCTTGCAGGTTTGATTCCCAGTTGGGGGCACATACCTGGGTTGCAGGTTTGATCCCCAGCCCTTGTTGGGGTGCATGCAGGAGGCAACCAATTGATGTGTCTTTCTCACATTGATGTTTCTCTCTCCCTCCCTTTCACTCACTCTAAAAATTAATGAAAAAAAAAAAAGAGTTCTCAGATAAGGATTAACAAAACAAAACAAAAAAGCTTCCCAGATAAGAAAAAGCTAAAGGAGTTTGTTACCACCAAACTTGTATTATGAGGAATGTTCAAGGGCCTGCTTTACTAACTAATAGTAGTAGTAGTAGTAGTAGAAGAAGAAACAAAACAGAGAAATATAATTTAGAAAATAAAATGGCAATAAATATATACCTATCAAGGTTCACCTTAAATGTAAATAACTTAAATGCTCAAATCAAAAGACATAGGGTGGCTAAATAGATAAGAAACAGGACCCATATACATGCTGTCTTCATGACCCACCTCAGAACTAAAGATACATACAGACAAAAGTAAAGGGATGGAAGAAGATATTTCATGCAAATGGAAATGAGAAAAACTGGGGTAGCAATACTTACATCTGACAAAATAGATTTTAAAAGGCTATAGTAAGAAACAAAGAAGGATACTACATAATGATAAAGGGAGCAATCCAACAAGAGAACATAACTTCTGTACACATTTATACACCAGAATGTAAAAAGCAAATTTTTTAAATATATATTTTATTGATTTTTTTACAGAGAGGAAAGGAGAGAGATAGAGAGTTAGAAACATCGATCAGCTGCCTCCTGCACATCTCCTACTGGGGTTGTGCTCACAACCCAGGTACATAAAAAGCAAATTTTGATGAACATAAAGGGGGAGATTTACAGTGATACAGTCATAGTAGGGTATTTTAAGACCCATTGACATAAATGGATAGAACTTCCAGAAAGAAAGTCAATAAGAAAACAGTGACCTTAAATGACAAATTATATCAGATTGATTTAATTGATATCTTCAGAGCATTTCACCCCAAAGCAGCAGAATATACATCCTTTTAAAGAGCACATGGAAGATATTTTTAGGATAAACCAAATGTTAGTACACAAAACAAGTTTCAATAAATTTAGGAAGATTGAAATCACATCAGGCATATTCTCTGACCATAATAGTATGAAACAAGAAATCAATCACGAGAAAAAAACTGAAAAATCCACAAAGACATGGAGGCTAAATAGCATGTTACTAAACAATGACTGGGTTAACAATAAGATCAAGGAAGAAATAAGATACCTTGCAACAAATGAAGATGGGAACACAACAACCAAAATCTATGGGACACAACAAAAGCAGTCCTAAGAGGGAAAGTCATAGTATTACAAGTCTACCTCAAGAAACAAGAAATCTCTCAAATGAACAATATAACTTTACACTTAAAGAAACTGAAAAAAGAACAAGAAACAAAGTCCAAAGTGAGTAGAAGGAAGGAAATAGTAAAGATCAGAGCAGGGGTAAACAAAATAGAGTCTAAAAACATAATACAAAAGATCAGTGGAACCTAGAGCTCTTCCTTTGAAAAGATAAACAAGATCAACAAACCATTAATCACACTCCAAGGAAAAAGAGAGAGGACTCAAACAAAATCAGAAATAAAGAAAGATATAACAACTGACATAAAAGAGATACTAAAGATTTTAAGAAAATATTATGAACAATGCTATGCTAAAACATTGGACAATCCAGAATAAATAAATTCTAGAAACATACAATCTTCCAAACCTGAATCAGGAAGAATCAGAGAATCTGAATAGACAGATTACAACTGGTTACATTGAAGCTGTAATTTAAAAAACCTCCAGTAAACAAAAGTTCTGGGCTGGATGGCTTCACAGTTGAATTTTACCAAACATTCAAAGAGTAACTAACACCGATCCTTCTCAAACTATTCCAAAAGAATTCAAGAGGAGAGAAGGCTCCCAAGCTGTTTTTATGAGGGCAGCATTACTCTAATTCAGTGGTTCTCAACCTGTGGGTCGCGACCCCTTTGGGGGTTGAACGACCCTTTCACAGGGGTCGCCTAAGACCATCGGAAAACACATATATAATTACATATTGTTTTTGTGATTAATCACTATGCTTTATGTTCAATTTGTAACAATGAAAATACATCCTGCATATCATATATTTACATTATAACATTATTCATAGCAGTAGCAAAATTATAGTTATGAAGTAGCAATGAAAATAATTTTATGGTTGAGGGTCACCACAACATGAGGAACTGTATAAAGGGTTGTGGCATTAGGAAGGTTGAGAACCACTGCTCTAATTCCAAAACCAGTTAAAGACACTATAAAGAAAAAAAATTATAGGCCAATCTCTCTCGCAAGCATAGATGCTGAAATCGTCAACAAAATATTAGCAAACCAAATCCAGCAATACATTTAAAAGGCCATACATTGTCATCAAGTGGGATTTATTCCAGGGATGCATTATTGGCACAATATCTACAAATCAATAACTGTGATATACTGCATAATAAACAAAATGATAGGATAAAATCACACAATCATATTAATAGATGCAAAAAAAGCATTTTATAATATCCAGCACCCTTTTATAATAAAATTTTTTAATGAAGTGGGAATAGAGTGAGCATATCTCAGCATGATAAAGGCCATATGTGACAAACCCCACAGTCAACATCATTCTCAATGGGCAAAACTAAAAACATTTCCCTTGAGTCAGGAACAGGACAGGGATGTCTGCTTTCAGCAGTATTATTCAACATGGTTCTGGAAGTCCTAGCCACAGCTATCAGACAAGAAGGAGAAAAAAAAACAGGCATCCATTGAGAAAGGAAGAATTAAAACTGTGATTGTTTGCAGATGACATGATATTGTATAAAGGGAACCCTAAAGACTCCACCAAAATACTACTAGAACTGACAAATGAATGCAATGAAAGTTGGGAGATATAATATAAATATCCAAAATCAGTTCCATTTTATACACCAATAATGAACTATCAGAAAGGCAAACTAAGAAAACAATCGCATTTGCAGTTGCTTAAAAAACAACCTAGCAGTAATTTAACAAAGGACGTAAAAGACCTACACTTGGAAAATTATAAGACACTTGGTAATATTTGGATTCTATTTTTTAAACATTGGGCAATAATTATAACTATAGGAATTTATGAAGTAGAGGGACATGATCTGATTTATGTTTTGAAAAGACCACACTGGCAGCTGTGAGGAGTATGAATGGAAGGAAGAAAACAGATTGGAGGCTTTTATAGAAGCATAGGTAAGTGAAGGCCGCGGGGATAGGCTTGTGGTAGTGGAGAACAAATTATGCAGATTCAGAATATATTTTGGAGTTAGAACTGAAGAAAACTTGCTCTTCAGTTGAATGTATGATTGAGGGAAAAGGAGGAATTATAGTGGCTGTCAGTTGTGGCTTGAGCAAATTGGTGTTTAGTGGAGCAATTTGTGGATACTAGAGACACCGGGGGGGAGAATTTGAAATTTGTTTGGTAAGTTTGTTTTCAAGTGAAGCTTTGGGGAATTAAGAGCTACAGAGACACTTAAACATTCGTCCAAGTAGAGATTTCAAATAAGCAGTTACACGACAGTGGCGTTCAAGCCTAGGGACAAGGCAGAATGAGGACACCGAGATAGAAAACACCCACTGCCATTGGGGTTAAAAAGGAACAGCATCTTCTTTTTGTTACACAAGATGGTTTGTCTTTATTCACCATCAGTGGCATGTGATGGAAGGAATATATACTTTAAGTCTGAATGAAATGTGCTTGAATACCAGCTCTCCCATTAAATATTGTTTCTTAAGCTGTCTTCACTCAATTATAATTAAAAATTTAACCACTATTTTCTCACTAGTTTTTATAGTGACTATTTCTGCTCTAGGTAAGCAAATATTTATATACCATGTCTCCTTGAAGGCATCTACGTTTCCTTAAATTTAAAGCTAGTTGCCTGATAAACTCACCTCTCTGAGGGGTTCAAGTATTTTGTATCTTACTAGGTACTTATTTGCTAGAGTGGGAATGATGCTCTTTCCATATTTTTGCATCTTAAGCAGAAATGCTACAAGTCTACACATAAGAAATTTGAGATGCTGATAGAACATCTAAGTTTTAGATGTCCTATCTATATTTTCAATTTTGAGATGCCTATAGAACATCTAGGTTTTAGATGTCCTATCGATATTTTCAATTGTCCTATCTATATTTTCAAATTAGGACAAAGGCATTGACTGAAAAAGAATATAGCCTTATCAACTTCAAGATGATTATTGAAACAAAACAAGAATGGATGAGATTGCTCAAGGGGTATTTATAGATTTATTGTGAAATTCTAAAACTTTTGTTATGCTATCACATTTTTTCCCTTTTCACAGTTTTTACTTCTTACATTTTGATTTTTCTGCCTCATGAGCTTATGTGGTATTGTTTCTTCTATAGATAATTCATATATATAAGTGCGTGTTCTTCCAAAGTGATATATGTAGATACAATTAGTATTTTGGGGTTTTTCCTTCACAGGAATTCCGAGTGCACAACACTACCAAACTAGCTGTAAAAGACTTGTCTTTGAATGTATATGAGGGACAGATCACTGTTCTTCTAGGACATAATGGGGCAGGAAAATCTACTACTCTATCTATTCTCTCAGGTATGTATTTACCTCTGGTCAGAGGGTGTCCTCACATAGACACTGTAGATTAAGCTTACAGATTTTTAACAGTTTAGTCATTTCAGTGATACATAAAATTGTTTTGTAACACTCTGTCTTTTTAAGTTGTAAATGACTTGTGAGAGGTACCAGGTGTCAGATTTTGCAAAGACATCAAAGTAGCCATTATAAACATGTTCAAAAAACAAAGAACTTATATGCATATATGCATAACACATGGACATAGACATTAGTGCAGTGAAGACTGGGGTGGGCAGGAGTGGGGTGGAATGGGTCAATGGGGTAAAAAAGGGGGATATATGTAAAACTTTCAACAATAAAGATAAATTTAAAAAAACTAAAGGAAACAATGATTAAGGAAATAATGGAAAGTATGAAAAAAATCTCAATAAGTAGAAAATATAATAGAAAAATTGAAATTATTTTTATTTTATTGTTAATCCCCACTAGAGTATTTTTTTTTCATTGAGAGAGAGAGAGAGAGTGGAAGGGAGGGAGGGGAAGAGAGAGAAAAACATCAATGTGAGAGAAACACATCGATTGGTTGCATATTACATGCACCCTGACCAGGGCCAAGGAGCAAACCCACAACCCAAGTACGTGTCCTTGACCAGGAGTCAAACCCATGATCCTTTGTTTCACAGGCCAATGCTCTAACCAATAAGAAACATTGGCCAGGTTAGAAATTATTTTTAAAAACCAAGTGGAAATTCTGGAGTTTAAAAACACAATAACCAAAGTGAAAAATATATTAAGAAGCTCATTGGTAGATTAGAATTGTCAGAGAGAATCAGTGAACTTAAAGATAGACTGATAGAGGTTATACAGTCTGAAAAACAGGAAATAAAGAATTAATAAAAATTAACATAGGTAAGGGATCAAGATGGCAGTGGATCAGGTGGAAATTACACTCACCTCCTCACAGGACTGAATTGGAACTACACTAAATTATAGAACAATCAACCTGAATATCTAACTGAAGATCAGCTGAACAGAAGACTTATAACCAAGGATTTACAGAAGAAGCCACTTTGAGACTGGTAGGAAGGGCAGAGATATGATAAGAGCTGGCCCTGCATCCCCATATAGCTGTTGAGAATCAGAAGGGATATCTTATCAGCAAAGGTGACCCCTTAAAAGTGTGCAGTCTCAACCCTATGCAGAGCTCCTCAGCATAGAGCTCCAGAACTGGAAGAGGAGACTACATAAAATCTGGCTGTGAAAATCAGCAAGGATTCTGTCTTCCAGGGAGAGAGAGGGGAGTCTGCTTGAAACCCAGGCAACCTTTTTTTTTTCAAATATATTTTATTGATTTTTTACAGAGAGGAAGGGAGAGGGATAGAGAGCCAGAAACATCAATGAGAGAGAAACATCAATCAGCTGCCTCCTGCACACTCCCCACTGGGGATGTGCCCGCAACCAAGGTACATGCCCTTGACCGGAATCAAACCCAGGACCCTTGAGTCTGCAGGCCGGCGCTCTATCCACTGAGCCAAGCCGGTTCTGGCAACCCAGGCAACCTTTTAAAGGGCCAGTGCACTAAATATCATTTGTAGCCATTCACGCTGGGCTCTGGTGGAGGGAGAGTGGCTCAGAATGGGCTGGAGTCATGCAAAGAGAAAATGGGTTGAGGCTCCAGGGAGAGAGGTGAATGGACAGCCACCA